CCCCCCCCCCCCAACAACACTCAAAAACTTATCCATCTCAGCTGCAAAGCAACAAAAACAAAAATGCCAACTCTACATTTAACACCAAGCACTACAATACAAAATATAAACACACCTTCATTCAAAGCGCTTAGCCCATAGAGCTCAGCAGCCTTTATGCAATCCAAGCTGGTGAGGTACATGATATTTACTAGATCACCCCTTCCCTCACTAGCTTCCCCACCTCTTCTTCCTCATCCTCATTCAAACTATATTTATTTCGGTTAGCTTTCTTAGCCTTCCAGAATGACAACAATTCTACCTCAACATCCTCCCTCTCCCACTCAGTGTCATCCACAAAGAAAATTTTTTTCTTCCCTCCCTTAATGGATGAAGGACTCGTTGTAAATAAACTTCTATTTTCCTTATTTGACACTCTAGGGGTAAAATAATACCACCTCTTCTCCTTCCTACTTCTCCCCTTAAGAACAAAAAAATGTTTGAACATATTTACAATTGACACATTAACCCTCTGAGCTCGGCAATAAACTAAAAACCTTATTATTACTCTTATAGCATTGGGGGCTAGTTATGTCAACCATATACTATAATCTAGTAATAACCCTCCCAGCAGTTCAGGAATGGGAAACCTAAGCCCCGTTGCCAAGTAATGGGCATACATGAGCATCCAATGATCTCGAGGTGCAGAGCATGCGCTCTCTTTCACCCCAGCAAGCCTAACTAGAACTCGGGAAGAAATTTCATAAGTTTCTACTAAATAACCCAAGCTATCCTTGGTCCCAAATTTTGACTCATATTCCCTCACCTCAAACACAATATCTGCATCAACATCATAACACCTTTCATTTCTAACCTCCACTTCTAATACAGTTATGGGAACCCCATCTCCCTCAACCCCAGCCATCTCACTTCTTCCTACCCCTTCCTACATCCTCTCTGAGTCAGATGACTCACTGGTCATACCCACGTCACCATACTCCAACGCCCCTCACTTCCTCACTTCTCTCAACGCTTAACGTTTCCTCGGAAGACATCTCTTCAAGTTTTGTAACTGTCACTGCACGGAGTTGGGGGAGGGAATGAAGTTAGGATCTTCAAAAAACTCTTGATTCACGCTCACTGTCACTATCACTCTTAAACTTAACCCCCTTCAAAGGACTTAGATATAAATCAGAAAGGGTGAGACGAGAAGAAAACATTTTTTAAAATTTGAATCACCAAAACTCATACACTACCTGATCTCGATCTTCAAAGATTGATGTAGAAGTCCACAAAGAATGCAACAGTCTAGACGCAAGAACACAGTAGAATTTTGGCAGCACTTTGGTAGAAAATACAGCAAAAGTAAAACCCTTTTTACAAAACTATACCTATATATACCAAAGCAAATATATGCTTGAACGGTTATGATTAATTTCATCTGACGATCACGGTTACATCGTTTCGAATTCAACAGTTAATCCTTGATGGAAATCTCTCAAATTTGACGGTTCGTTTTCCATTCCATCTGTTTAACTGTAGCAGTTACTTTTCCCAGCCCGTATTTATTGTACACATCTTTCAACAGACAGCTGTCACGTAAAGTATTAACTCTACATCAGCCTTTTTAAACAGGCCCAATTAAGCCCAACCCAATACTTCTGTTCATTTTCACAATAATATTTTTCAATTTTACAAGTGTTTCACATCGGCTACGGCCACAATGACTCCGCTCATCACTTGTTACCTCAGCTACAGCCACAATGACTCCGGTCATCACTTGTTACCTCGACTACAGCCACAATGATTCCAGTCATCACTTATTACTTCAGCTCTGGCCATAGTGACCACATGTCACATATTTTACTTCAGCTCCGGCCATAGTGACCTCGTGTCACATATTTTACTTCAACTCCGGCCATTGTGATCACATCACATCACATTTCATTTCAGCTATGGCCACAGTGACCTCGTGTCACATATTTTACTTTAGTTATGGTCATACATGAATTTGAATTACCAATTTTTATTTTAATCATGACTCTAGTAACTCAACTCTAATATTCTTTCATTCCTTTTTTCACTTAATTATACACTACTTCTACCACCTTTAACAACATCATTCACAAGTGAATGATTTCGAGGGGAAAATAGTGTAAGGATAAGTTCGAGATCCTTAACCTCGGATGTACCGCTATAGTTCCTTAATAACCGAAGTGAAGTTAAATCCAACACTTCCGGGTTAAATGGCTGCATGATAAATACAGTGAACATGCCCACACTTGATTTACATAATTTCTCGGTCTCGAAATTATCGTCTGAAGGGACACGTCACACTCCATTATCTTGTTAAGTAAGCCTCGTGGACACCTCACTAAGGCCTATAAATACCCCCCAGGGGCCACCTAGATAATTGAAACCGATCTAAAGCTCCTTTTTTCATTATTCTAAAGGTAGATCCAATTATTGTTGACTTAAGCATCAGAGTGTCTACCTTGAGGACCCACCTCGAGGCTTTGTAGGTTCATCTAGAGTGAAGACGTGGACTGAAGAAGGACTTTTGGTTTGGTGCAATCACAAACTACCAAGAGCGGAGATAATAAGGCGGAAGCAGCATGGCAATGGCAACTGTTTACGTAGGGACTTGACGCTATTCATTCCTTTTAGACTTTCCTGTGCTGTTGATATTTTTACCATTTTCCCCTCCAAAAATTCTAAATTAAATGCCTAGGGCTTGAGAGTTTGACTTGATTTGGTTGCAGTTCATTTAGGACATAAATGAGTTAAGCTACTAGATTTGATCTTAAGTTAGATTAGACTTGACTTGACTTAGAATAAAAATCAAATTTGAATTTGACTTCAAAATAGAACTCAAAAAATCATAGGAATTAAGTTCAAGCTATACTCAACTTGATTTGACTCAACTCATTTTAACTATATTAAAAAATGATTATACATTAAATATTTAAAATTTTAATTTTAATTTTAAATAAAAAGTTCAAGAAATGAGCCAAGATCAAGAGTCAAATTTGAATTCATAAGTTGAGTTTAAACAAAATATATTTAAATTTAATAAAAACTCGATCCCAACTTGATTTATTATTGTAATAAGTTCAAATTTTAAAGATTTTGACACATTTATCGCCCTAAATTTTGATTAGTCAAAGTATAGCAGCTTGG